ATTGTGGGGTGTTTTTTATCATTTTATAGTTATGTTCATGTTTTTTAATATAATTTTGAAAAAAATATCAGGGATCGATTAATGAAAATATGTAATTACGAATTTTAAAGAGACTTGGTGTGATTGTTATTATTAGTATCATCATCATTTTTTAATTGTGCAAGTCGTCTGTCCCAACATCTCTTTTTTTTTTTTTTAAACAAGTGGGCCCTTTCTCCCACCGAGGCGGGTGGGGGACCAAAAGAAAGAAAACCCAAAAAAAAGAAAATATTTTTATCATCATTCAAAACTTAACCGGCCCCACACTAATCACTGTTTTTGCAGAGATGCTCAGAAAAAACAGTTTAGAAGCAATAGTATAAAGTACAAAAATATCCCCCCCAAAAATGCAAATTTCCCCCAAAAAAAACCCCCTCCTTTAGAGTGCGGGCTTGTATTTTCTTTTGGGAAACTCATTTCCGGCTATATAAAAAAAAAACGGTTTTCCCCTAAACCCCTGATAAATTTTACCCTCTCACACCCCAAAAGCTGTCAGGGCCCCCAAAATTTTACCATTTGTCTCTTTTCATCCTATCGAACCGTCATGCATGCTGCTGGAAGTGAAACCCCCTCCCCCAAAAAAACCCCTCCTTCCCCTTTCCCTTTAAAAAACTTTTCGAGGAGGGCCCAGATCCCGTTTTTCCTTTACAGATTTAAATGTTTCCCCATGTCATTTTACTTTGACCCAATTCTCTCAAATTTGCCCAAAACCCCCCCTAACAACCCCCTTTTCCCACCCTCTAAATTTCCCTTTTTTTAACAAACCCCTCTTCCCCAAAATTTTCCCCCCACTCCAAGATTTTTTTATGAGGATAGTGGGTTCAGGTTAGGGTGTGTGAAGAGGGGAAAATTTTTCCGGTAAAAAAGTAGCCTTGGGAAAAGAGATGGTAATGTCACCAAGATTTGTTTAAATATTTATAGATGGGGTTGTAAAAGAAGTGAAAGCAAGGGTTTTTAGGAGGGGGGGGGGATAAAATTATGGGGAATCTAAAAACAAAATGGGAATTGGCCCTTATTTTTTTTGATGTTTCTGTGCTTAGGGAGATTTTAAAAAAAAATTGCAAAGGTTAGTGGATGTGTTTGGGGGTGTGTGTTTAAAAGGGAGGGGTTGAAAAAGAAATAGAAAAGAGTAAGGTGGGGAAAAGGGATCAAATGATTTTTGGAAAAGAAAAATTGGAAAATCAAATTTGGGGGGTAGTAGAAAGGAAGAAGTGATTTTTTTCAGATATTTGGGGGTTGAGTGGGGGTGGATGGATTTATGGAAGGGTGGGTTAATTTAGGGAAATTTATGGGGGGGGAAAAAAAAAATTTTTTTTTAGTGGTGCGTTGAGGGATTGTGGAGACCAAAAAAAAGTTTCTATGGAGGAAAGAAGGGAATGTTGAAAGGGTTTTGTAGTACCAAACATCTTTATGGGGTAGTGAGTTGGGGGTTTTGAAAGCGCAGGGAGGAGGCGGGGTTTGGGGCAGTGGAGATGTCCCTTTTTAAGGGAGTGGTGGTGGGGAAAATATTACGCAAAAAAATTCGGGGGTGTGATCTCATATTTTTTTTTTTTTTTTAATGTGGGGGGGTTTTATCATTTTATTGTTTTGCTTCGTGTTTATTTTAAAACATGATTTGAAAAAAATACAAGATGGTTTAAAGAAAAAAATGTATATTAAAAGAAAAATACGACATTTAACCCGTAAAAGGTCCCCAAAACAGATTACGTTCATTGTTAGTGCTACAAAAATAAAAACTAAAAATTTTTTTTTTTTTTTTTTTTTTTTTTTTTTTTTTTCATATTTTTTAAAAAATTTAAAAAAAAAAAAAGTAGGGGTCAAAGGTTTTTTTACATTTTCAAAGTAGAAAAAAAAAAAAGATCTATTTTTTTTTCAAAACTTTCAAAATGTTTAAAAAAAAGTTTTAATACGTTTTTGGGCATTTAGGGTTAATGACTCGATTATTATTTAATTTCTTTAAATGACGTCTCGAGAAAATAAGACATCTTAATGATTTTAATGTGTACCCCCATTTCCAGCACAGAAAGTAAGTTTATTTTGGTAGTACAGGTTTAATTTCAGTGGACCCCCGGGATAATGATCACCCCCGAATGCGACCCAAATTAAAGTAAGTTTTTTATGTAAGTGGGGTTTGTTACGTGTATGTTTTGGGGGGGCTGAAATTTGGAACTAATTACTTCAAAAATTTCCCTTTTGGGAACAAAATTCGGTAAATAATGGGACCTGAACATATTCGGAGTGGGAAA